TCCTGCCATTACGCTCGAATCGTGGTGGAGTGGTACCGAGCCAACGGAGTCAATTTTGTGCCAAAATATATGCACCCACCAAATTCACCGGACCTTCGCCCAATTGAAAAACTCTGGGAAATTTTGAAGACACTACACCCTTTAGAACTACCAGAAAGCTCTAAAAAAATTTAACTTCTTGAAATTTTCCTAATTTTCTGATGGTTGTGGACCTGCCCTGAAGTTCTCAGAACTGACCTGACGTTCCCGTTACTTTCGCTGAAGTTTTCTGGACGGTTTTATTTTTATTCTTAGAACATCTGTTATGTTTCTACAATGTGTTTGATGTTCGTGGAACTGCCTTAAGATCTTAGAAGTGTTCCGCAGTTCTTTGGTCATTCCTTAAGATTTTTAAACATACTAGAAGCTATCTGATCGTCCCTGAAGTTCTTGAAACTTTTGCAAAGTTTCTGCAATTTTCATGAAGTTAATGGAACTTCTGGAGATCTTTTATCTTCATCAGAATTTTACTGAAGAAGTTTATCAAACCGCCCTGAAGTTCTCGGAACTTAACGTTCCTCTGTTCGGGACATAACACTACTGCGCCCAGTAATTTGATCTATTGTAGTATATCCCGTGTCCTTAGTTTAGTGCATGTCGTATTACTTCATCACTATTGAGAAATGATGAAGTATTCGGTTTTGATACAGTTGTTATTCTTGCCTTAATCGCAAGGAATCGATTCTAAATAATTGAAAGGTCCCGCTATTTATACCCTTCGGAGTGTTGAAACATCCTCCAAAGGCGCCCCCCTTTGTCAATCAAAATTGGATTCCTTAACAACAAAATTAAAAAATTACACCGATAGTGACCATGCATCAGAACCCTAGTCTTAACCACTTCAAACTAGGGAACAACGAATAGAAGATTAGGAATCACATTGATGAAGACTAACTAACTCATTTTTTCCTTGTTTCAAGATCATCCTCGGTCCAGGCAATCGAGGACTTATGACTATCAACAAGGCATAAAAAGTAACAAGGACTAAGATGTATTCCTTGGATTACTGAAAAATCCTGTTCCCCTAGTTTGAAGTTGTCAAGACTAGGAATCGGTGGTAGATCTTACATCCCGTAGCATACCACGAAAAGGTGATCTACCCACGTTACGGGACAGATCATTGTAAGAGTGCATGAGCGATTATGAGTCCAACATAAAATCAAACTCCTGGGTACAAAAAAAAAATTGCATTTCTCTTTTGTTGGCGGTTATTTCTTCAAGCGTTTATTTTCTGAAATGGTTTAGGGGGCAGATTTAATCTGAATGAAGACATAATAATTCTCATGTCTTTTAAGAAAAACAATTTTGCTCATATAAGGTCACTGTAATCTGTATGGGCATAAAGCAATATGAAGCTATATGTAAAATAGTGTGACGTAGATGGTGTGAACACCTTTCCAAAGACAAAAACTTTCTATCTTGTCAACATGTCCAGTTAAGCAAACAATTTGAAAATAAATGGCATATTAGTGCTGCCTGAAAGCAGAATTCTGAACTCAACTGTTCACCTTCCAACTGAAACAAAACGTGAAGCTCTTTTATAGCCTCACAATCGGCTCGCCTCTCTTAGTTCTCTCGGTAGTCATAGCAAACAAGCACGTGATTGGTTGCTTGCGGCGTTAAAGTTTTTTCAATTTACAATAGTTTACTAGTGATAATTTTTTATAATCTTTATACCAAACAAATCTTACACAAATCTGCCAAATCATAAGCTTTTAAAACCTGACACTATTGCGTCACAGAATTTTTTAATTTGCACCCCAGTATAGTCCACAAAGACGTAGTCGTACGTAAAAAAGTTTTTTAGAATATTTACAACAACAAGACAAAGTTGTACGAAACAATATTTCCTTTTTAAGAAAAATATACACCGTACAGAAACACAAATGATTTTGGAAAAAAAAACTATTATAGTTTTTAAAATGTAAATGACAAAAATACCTTTTTCAATATTTTTGAATACGTTTATTGAAAGCTTATTAAAAAAACAATCTTCTATAAAAATTTTAGTTTTACACTTATAAATAACCAAAAATCGTAAAACATTATTTTAAAGACAATTTTGAACATTTTTTTGTTAAATTTAGGAACAGAATACCATGTTTTATGCTTCTAAAATCTTTTTCTTTACATATTTTTTCATAAAGATAGCATTTTTTTAATTTTTTTGAACCTTTAATTTTTCAGAGAATTTACAGAAAATATACTTATAAAAGTATTATTGTTTTCAATCTGAATACAATCTTCTGATCTTCTGTCGAACAAGTCACTCTATAGAAATAAAAAAAGTCTGATCTTGAAATCGTCGCCTGAGTCGGAGTTGGAATCGGCAAAACTTCACGAACTCCGATTCCGACTGCTCAGTTCGTGTAATTCCCTCCGAATCCGGCACCGACAGAAATGCATTTAATCTATTTGGAGCTCAAATGACCAGCTGCTTTCGAAACGAAGTAGGGATAATGTCCATAATGTCGGCCTCAGTGTCCCTTATATTGGGCCCATGCCATATTTTTGAAGGATATATTTGTTTTACATTTGTTAAACAGCATCAAAAATATCAAGTTGCATTGTCCAGATAAAGCATTGTTCCAAGAAAAATTGGGTTTTTATGAATATTGCATGTTCATAATCTGCATTAAATGGAACCGAAATCCTAGATTTTATAAATTTTGGCACACTTAAATTATTATATGTAAATGCGATTACATTAGCAAAAATCACCATCTTAGCGCCTCTCGGTTAGACTTTGCAAGTTACATTACATCGAGCACGAATATAGCTCATTGTTGATATCTTGATATCTATCCATTTGATGATGATGGTGATTTATTAATTTTTATTTTTTATTTTTTTATTTCGTCAACCAACGTAGACTAGTACATATTAGAATACAGTTTTGTTTTCTTAAATTTATTTATTTATTTCGTCAACTTTGGGCAAAAGGTTAAAAGTATATTTTTTTCTTTAATAAAAATTAAGCAGTGTCAGCTTTCCTATTTTTTTATGAGTTATAATGCCTTTTGGAGTAAAAATATTGTTTTAGTTTATGCCGAGACATTGTAAAGTCAATGGTTTCACAGTATTGATTGTAAGAGGCCATCATGCGGTTTAATGGCCCATATTTTGCATAATTTGTGCGATGATGTTTTAAGGCAAATAAATTTCGATTTCGGAGTTGCCGAGTAGGTGCATGGAAATTTAATTTTGATAAAAGTTCTGTGGAGTCAATGCGTTGCGAAACGATATCGTTTACAAATGAAACCATTGCATATTCACGACGCTCTTTTAATGTTTGTATGTTTATAAGCATGCAGCGTGCTTCATATGATGGAAGAGGAAATGATGTCCAACCTAATTTACGAAGAGCTGTTTTTGTACGGATTCTAATCTTTCTTCGTGTGTGATTGAAAAAGGAGACCATACAATGCTGCAATATTCCAGTATTGACCTCACATAGGCGATATATAATGTTTTAATTGTGTATGGGTCCTGAAAGTTATAGCAAAAGCGCTTGATAAAGTCTAGTATGTTATTTGCTCTGTGAATAATTGTGTTGTAATGGTCTATGAAAGTTAGTTTAGAGTCTAAGATAATTTCTAAATCCCCAACTCTTTCACCATTTTCTACATTTTGATTTCCTAGTGCAATTGAAATATTTGAAGTTGTTTTTTTCCTGCTAAATTATATTAAGTTACATTTTTTACATTCAATTCTAATAGACTTTTTTTGCACCATATGTAGAATATGTGTATTTCATTCCGGAATATATTGATGTCTTCTTCATTTCTTATTTCCAAAAAAAGCTTCATGTCGTCGGCATAAATAAGCAATTTAAGTTTTTTGAGAATGAAAGAAATGTTGTTTACGTATAGAATAAAAAGGAGAGGTCCCAAATGAGAGCCTTGGGGGACGCCTGAAGTGACTTGAATTGGGCTCGATTTCTTTCCGTTGAATTTAATTATTTGTTGGCGGTTAGTTAAATATGATTCAAGCCATTTCAGGAGCCCTAACTCATTTCCAATTTTTTGCAATTTAAAAAGTAACATTGGTATGTCTATCCATTATCCATTGCATTCAATGAATAGTCTATAAATTCAAGTAAATTTATCGAGGTTGAGCGACCCTTGAAAAAGCCGTGTTGCATGTCAGTTGGATGATGATGATGCAAATGTTGTATACAAACCAATTAACATAAAATTAATTTGTTATAACATATCTTAACTTCAAATCTTGGTATTGGTAAACCGATTTTTTATGCAAATGATTGCTTTTTATTTCTACCATATTTTCTCAAAATATGAACATCCTAATTTTTCAATAATATTGAATGTTTATAGAAGCCATGCGTTTTGCAACGTTTTAGATTGTCATTATTTTATTTGGTCAATAATCACTTGAAGAATTAATGACTATCTCAAGTAAATTCATCTGTTTTGTTATAAAACGTAGATCCATGCCTAACAAGTGTTTTGATGTGTACATCCACTCCATCCACTATACAAAATACCCACTTGATCCCTCAGTTCAAATGTTCCTTTTTACCCAAAATCAGCACTAAATATAAACCATCCGACAGGTCAGGATTTCCCATTTGAATGCTTCGTCTTTAATTAGAACCATGCAGCTTTCGTAGAAATGCAACTTGTTCCCTCGGTTCTTGTTTACGCCTTAACCGACATAGTGCAACTCAGTTAGTCAGTCAGTCAGTCAGCTAGCCAACCAGTGCCGCAACCAACTCCAACTTAACCAAAAATAGGTCAACCCCGATTTCGTTCGGCACCCATTTCCACGCTTGCTTCTCTTTGTTCAATCCGATTCCTTTCCGCCTACCAAAAACAAAATTTCGCACTTTGCTTCGTTCCTACCTTAATCCCAGCAACTTTACAGAAAACTGAGAAAAATAACAAAATACTCTATCGCTTTATTTCTTTTCTCTTTCTCTTTCGCACTTTTAATTTCAGACTACGGCGCGACAAGCTGGCCTAGACTTTCCCGTAGCAAAAAACTAGCCCACACTCACTCTCATATTCTCGCGCACTGCTCACTACTGGGAATCGTCATCGGGGAGGGAAAAACGCATTGGGAGCACCCACTAACTACACACTACCACTACTACTGACTGCTACGTGTTATTATTAGTAGCGCTCACCAACCCACTTGCTTTTGCCTCAGTATGCCGTGATGGATGCACGTTTACGAACTTACGAGAGCAAAATAAAAAAAAAAAATAAAAAAAAAGACCAACGGCAGTTATAAAGAAAACAAGGAAAGAGAACAACTCCATCACCTACTCCATCTCCTCCTACTTAATTTTCCGGTTTTCCGCCCCGACACCTTCGCGCAGTCCTGTCTTAATTGCTGTGGTGTTAATAGAAGCTGAAAGGTAATGTTTTGCTTGTTTTGTGATGATTTTCTGTACCGCCTTATTTGTGTTACAACAATTTTATTTTATTTTCACCTACAATCACCCTGTGAGTCATGATAAGTCGTGCTATTTTTTTTTCAATTACATCTGTACTGACTGAATTATGGTTATGGGGGTATCATGATTGATCCAAATTAAATTTAGCTTATCCAGAGTGGATGCTGTACCTTGTTTTCCAAACTCAGCAAAAAATGTTGAAAGATAATTGTGGTGAAAAATAAAATGATTAAAATTGATAGTTTTACTGAAAATTCACCAAAACCCTTTGTACATAATAGCCTTGAGATAATCGTACTGACAGTTTATCCCAAATGCATGGTTCTTTTAAATTCGTTAAATTTTCGGTTTTGAAATGTGTGTAAAATTGATTTTCATTAATTTTTAAATCAATACAAACAATGAAAAATGTGTTAAATTAATATTTGCATGATTCACACCCAGGGCGACCACCTGGCCTTCCGGAAGATCTGGACTTACCGTGAAAATAGCCATATTGCGAAGCTTTGATTTAAATATTATCAGACTGGCTCATGATAAACGCATGATTTATTTTTTTTTCCTACTGAATGTGCACCATAAAATTACCACAAACTAGTCTGAATCATCGTTAAAAGAGACCACATCATGCTAGGATTTGCTTTAAACAACTTAAATAATAGGACACGAAGTGAGTGTATACATTTAAAATTGTGAAGTGGATCTTCATCATGGATGATTAAAACCTGATTGTTGCCGGCGCCGGTGTTGTAGAGGTAAGCGTGACTGCTTTCTAACACCCCGATGGGTCTGGGTTCAATCCCAGCCGAGGTCGGTGGGATTTTTCTGAGGCATACAAATCTCTGGTCACGTCTTCCTTCGGAAGGGAAGTAAAGCCGTTGGTCCCGATCCATGTGTGTTGAATGGGTGCGATATCCTACGCAGGTGTGGAAGCTGCCTTCCTGCACATTCGATTGCCGTCAATGGATGGCAATCGATGTCCGTCGGTGATTGGCACTAGATTGCGGAACAGAGACCGACGCTAAATAAAGGAAAGAAGAATAAAACCTGATTGTTCGTAAGATTCTACCCCTTTATGTAGTAAAATATAGACGTCGATTTATTTTGCAAAAAATGGGTGAATTTGGAAATAGAAGATTGGTTACAAAACCATAAATGGACACGATCCAACTTCTGAACATTTTGGAACATCCGTAGAAGTTACCACCAATTAACATAAAAGTAGTTTATTATAACATATCTTAGGTTCAAATCTCGTTATTGGTAAATCTATTTCTTATGCAGATGATTGCTTTTTATTTCTACCATATTTTCTTGAAATATGAACATCTTATTTTCTATATAATTTTGAATGTTTGTAGAAGCCATGCGTTTTGCATCGTTGGAAATTTTCAAGATTTTATTTTGTCAATAATCGTTTGAAGAATTAATGATTATCTTTCACAAGTGTTTTCATGTGTACATCCCCTCCATCCACTATACAAAATACCCACATCATCTCTCAGTTCAAACTTCTGAACAATCCGGAATATCCGTAGAAGTTACCACCTCAAGAAGCAGAACTTTTAAAGCTAATGCAACAGGACTCAAGCTAAATGTCTTGACATACATACATGGAATTATGTTGAGTACACTTCTTTACAACCAAATCCAGTCATATAAAAGTTATATAAACTGTTCTAGAACTTGTGTGTTCCTTGGGTTGGTCGAGTGCCGTTTTGAGGAATACTTTCGAAGAATTCATAAACTTTCGGACAATACTAGATTACTGAATTGAAATAAGAACCACATTTTTTTAATTACATTTTGAGATTCTGAATTCTGAGCTTACTGGAACTTTACGATCCGAGACTTAACAATGTATCATGATCCATAAATATTTACATGTAAAATTTTAATGTTTTAAGAGATTCTGAAAATTTAAAAACTTTCTAAACGGTGCATTGTATAACAACTGAAATAGGGAATTTGGAATTTCTGAACTATTCTTTAAAAAATGAGCTTTTATTTTTAATCATATATTGGCATGATTTGGTCCTTATAATTAAATATTTTATAACATGGTTGGTGGTTAGTTGTTGGTTTTGTTCAAGCAGCTGGAAATCGTGGCACTCTCAAGCAGTGCTGCAAAATCTCGACAATACACGGTGATATTGACAATTCTGCTTGTCAGTGACAATGCTGTTAGTGACGAACATGTGTAGATTATTTGATTAACTAAATTTGTAACGAAATTAAATGACTTGGGTCACACAATTACATGGAACTGTTTAAGTGAACAAGCATCTACGCTCTGAAATGCTTGGATATCAATAATATGCACAGAATGCACGAAATTACACTTTTTGCTAGCACGTGAATCTTTGTCATTGACCAAAAATGAATGAGATTTGGACGAAGGTTTTTATCAGGATCAAGTTTGTCAGTGACTATGGGAAAAACAATTTTGTCAATATCGCGCGAAAGTCTTTCAATGACAATGACAAATCTCAGTACTACTCATAAGATGTCGAAATGACAAGGTTAATACTTTAAAGAGATTGTTATTTTTAGATCGTTATTTTTGACAATGCTTTGAAAAATATATGAGAATTGAAGATTCGTAGCGGCACCGGTTGTGTAGTGGAAAGCGTGATTACCTCTCACCCCAGTAGGCCAGAGGTCAATCCCAGTCAGCGCAGCTGGGATGTTCTGAGGCATAACATCTCTGATCACGGGAAGTAAAGCCGTTGCTCCCCGGTTCATGAGTTAATGGTTCGATAGGTAGGGTCCAGGTGTGGGAGCTGCCTCCCTGACGTCGGTAGCATTGGTGCTCAGCACGGAAAACAATATTGACGGAAAACAAATCAAGGGAAAAATAAGGATTGGTAGTTTTTGATCTCGATTGGACACTTTTATGAGAAATAAATTAATTTGTGATTTTATCCTTCACTTAATCACATTTGATTGTAATTTTCCATTCTTTTACTTATAATACATTTTATCGAAATTAATTAAACTCAGTAAAACGGCATTCGATCAAATGGCTCGCAGACTGCTATAGCTTGTTTCTTGTCGTGAACTAATTTTAGTCAAATTAAAGTTGTTTCGAAGATTAATATGTCTACATCAAATGTGCTGACTTTCAGTTTATTTGGTGATTCGGGTGTCCGGTCATTAGGCCGGAAGCCATTAGGAAGAAGGCCATTAGGCCAAATGGCAATTAGGCCGAATGGTCATTAGAAAAAATGCTCATGACCTTCGGCCCAGCATCGGTTCACCGTACTTCAAGAAATAAAAGTTTAAAAAAAGGCTATAAAATAAGCTCCATATCTCTAAAACTGATCAAACTTTATACAGAATCATCCAATCAAGTCCAAAACTATACCGATATAATTTGAATAGATAAACCAGCAGCCAAAATTTGAGATATTTTGATGTACATCCTTAGAAGTTACAGCTCATTGAAATTCTTCTGAAAAAATAAAATAAAACCACAATGGTATATACTTTTGCCCTGTACTGTATTTTGACTTCCCATAACTGACCTTAGCGTCCCCAGAAAAGCACCCACGTCTTATTTCCGAAATAAAGTATGTTTTACTCAGTTTTTCACAAACAAACCAATTCATATTTAGTTGAAGATGCTAATATAAATATAAATTCATATTGTCGAAAAGACGCAAACAAACGGTCGAAACGTCAGGAACGTAAAAAACCAATCGATTCTACTATAAGACTGAGAAAGTCACCACATAAAGCAATTTCCCACCATTAGCTTAATACCATCGAGCAAACAAGATTGTAGTACCGTTGTACAAACCGGTGGACCACCGGACGTACCCCATTCTAAAGACTGTACTCGAAAAAAAAATGAAACAAACAAAAATGATCACGGATATTTTTGAAACTCTCAAACAACATATTAAAGGGCGAACACGAAATTATTGCGACACATTCAACAGGGCATAACTTTTTTACCATTGGGTAAAAATCAACCAAATTTTGCACACTTTCTCATTGATGTGTATTGTGTACATGCTGTCAAACTCGAAGTCGTGTTTTTCGATTCAACGAAAATGGAGGTGAACCAACGCGAGTTGAGAGAACAAATTCTTTCCAAACACCTGCAATTTCCTGACCTGTCGCACCGGCAGTTGGGAAAAATGTTGAACATTCACCATTCAACCGTCTCCAGAGTGTTGAAGCGGTTCCAGGAGCGGTTGACGTTGGACCACGTCAAAGGAGCTGGAAGAAAACCGGGACCGGAGAACAAAAAGACGGAGGGAAAGGTGAAGCGGATGATTAAAGCAAATCCCAACGTCTCAAGCCGTGATTTGGCTAAAAAGATCGGCATGTCGCAGAGCTACGTCCAGAATGCAAAGAAGAGAGCTGGACTACATACATACAAGGTACAGAACTTCCCAAACCGCGATGAGCGGCAACAATCGACGGCTAAAACTCGGGCACGGAAGCTCTACGAGAAGATGCTGACAAAATATGGCTGCTGTGTGATGGACGACGAAACGTATATAAAAGCCGATTTTAAGCAAATTCCGGGGTTGGAGTTTTTCACCGGCAAGAGCAAGTTCGATGTGGACGACAAATTTAAGAAGAAGAAAATGTCGAAGTTCGCCTACAAATATCTCATTTGGCAGGCCATCTGCTCTTGCAGACTGAGGAGTGAGCCTATCGTGACAAAGGACACAGTAAATGGCGAGATCTACAAATCTGAGTGCCTCGAGAAGCGTCTTTTGCCGTTCTTGCAGCAGCACGACGAAGCTCCGCTATTTTGGCCAGATTTGGCATCATGCCACTATTCTAAAAGTGTCCTGGAGTGATATGAGGCCAATTCTGTCCATTTTGTTCCAAAGGACATGAATCCGCCAAACTGTCCGGAGCTGCGTCCGGTGGAGCAGTACTGGGCAATAATGAAG